TTATTGGCAGGCTTCAATGTACTAGGTCCACACCGCACCAATCACAGACTCTGTTCGTGGACGAACGGCGTTTCTCCAGCGAACAATGACTGCCAGCAGGCGTATTTTTCGCTCCCCTCCCCCTCCCCCATACTCCTCTTTTAGCCTCACTCCTACTCCCTAGGACACCGTTTCGTCTATCCCAATGAATCCAAGATGGCGCTTGCTTGATTAAATTGTGATCGCTCGCCAAAATACGCCTGCATTGCAGGCTAATCGCGGACCGTCAAACACACTGGAAAACAATGAAGCCAAAACTTTCTGAAATCGCTTTACTCCGAGTTTACGAATTTGACCTCGAACATTCTGTTATCTTTTTGTTGAAGAAAATACAACTGCAATACGGAATGTTAGCATTTCCGTTTGGACTTTCAATAAATTTTATATTGCTATATACTGATAAATGGCAAATCTTGCAAACAAGGAATTCACTTTTTGCCATTTAAATTTATTAGTTTAGTGTATTTATTATACTGATAAACAGAAATTTTTGCGAAAAAGAAATCTACCTTTTCGCCAGATAAATTTCCGAGGATAAGAAAATCATTGTAACTGTAAAGGCCGGGAAATCCGTGCGTGCCAAAAAGAAATCTACTTTTTCGCCAGATAAATTTAATAGTATAATAAAATCATTACAACTTTAAAGGCCGGGAAATCGGGCGAAACAGAATTCGACCTTTTAGCCATTTATATTTACTTGTGTAACAAAATCAAAATAACTGTAAAGGTCGTGAAATCGGGCCAAAAAGGAAATTGAATTTTTCGCCGGATACACAACAAAAATTAATACAACTGTAAAGGCCGGGAATTCGGGCCAAAAGAAAATCTACTTTTTACCAGATAAATTTACTAGTATAATAAAATCAGTACAACTGTAAAGTAAAATCGGGCCAAAAAGAAATCGACTTTTTCTCCAGTTCAATTTACTAGCGTAACAAAATCAATCAAAAATCAACTGTAAAAGGCCGGGAAATCGGGCCAGAAGGAAAGTAACTTTTTCTCCAGATAAATCTCCAGTACACGAGGCCTTATGAACAGGCCATCATACATGATCAAACATCGTTTCATGACCAAACACGTTGATGTTGTACAGTACGACCGAACGGTATCAAACTTGTTTTATTAACACTTTCCAGACGTACAAAATGTTTTACAATGTTTCATCAAATGGTGGTCGGCGTTAAAACTTTATCAAACACGTTCAAACAAGGTGTTCAAAAGGGAAAATGTTTGGTTTCTAAACAATCTTTGTTCATGTTTGATCACCAAACATTCCCCGTGTGGACAGGGCTTAATATCTATCATCTCACAATTTTTGAGTTAGCTGTATAGGACCAAATCTTCCAGTACAGTAAAGTAGAGTGAAATGTGTAATCAGCGGACCCCACGTATTAAGCGCTGAAACTCCCAAAACTCTTTTATGAAACGAACCCGGCTGTACTAAGCAGACAGCTTTGTTATCGTGGGTATCCGTTATAATAATACTTGTGGTTTCCCTGAGAATTCTAAATTTCCGAACTTTTCATTTTAAAAAAATACTTAATTTTTAATTTATCAAAATTAAAGCACATTTCATGTAAATTTACGCCTGAATTGGTCTCAATTCGCTATTGGAAGAAAAAAAAATCGTTCAGTTTGTCACTTACTATAGTATTGAATATACTTGCAATATACTAAAAAACAAATCGGGCCAAAAAGTCCATTTCAAGTTTTCTATTTTTAGAACAAATTGCGCCATCCCGTGCGGCACACGCGCGTACATGCTGCGAGGATTT